GAAGTATATTGGGAGGAGGGTGGGTCAAGGCAGAAGGAGAAGCTTTTGAAACGAGGGCCGTGAATTCAGTTTCTGTTGGTTTGCGATTGTGTTTGGTTTTGTTTGTTTCTTTAAAAAAAAAAAACATTCAATCGGGCAGCTCCCTTTTTCCACAAGCCTTTTTGTGACTAGAACTATTGTAGAGAAAATGTTCTTTTCTATATTATAAAAGAAATTATCCAACACAGTAATATTGGTACCTGTCATTTTTTCACTTCTGTTTTAAAAAAATGTATTTTTAGCAAAATAACTTGGGTAATCTTCTAAAAAAGAAATTTAAAAACTCACTGTTAGTGACTTTGATGCCTTTTAAAATAAGAGCTTTTTCATTTCATTCCATCTTTAAAATTTTTTATCTTTGTTGTAGAATATTAAAAACTATTTTAAGAAAGATAAAAATTCTCTTTAAAGAGATCTCTAGAGTGTGTGAATAGAGCTCCAGATGCCTCTAAAAGCCGCATGTACAAATGAAGCTAACTAAGTCTATTCCTGTCTGTTTATATTTGCTTTTCCTGTTTTGTAACCTCTTTGTACTTTGTTCATGGTGACTTGTAAGCTAAGGGGAAGGGGTGCCTAGATGCCTTTGTATTTCTCCATGTCATGCGCTCCTGGGCCAGTTGGTCTCCCTTCCTCTCCTTGTATGTAATATCACTTTTTCCCCCCTTTCTAGCAAGTACTTTCAAAAGAACTCTGTACATTTTAACATAAAAAAAAAATAAATTATGTTGAGCCATTTTGGATGTCTGTCTTGCATGTGGAATTTTTCTCCCTCCCAAATATTCAAACTCCAATTCTTTTTCTACACAGCCTTTTCATGCTCCTCTTTATATAGCAAGTATAAGTTCAGGACCTTTGCTTTGAAATCCAGTTTTCAAATATATATGTGTTTAAATGTGAACAATGTAAATATTTTTTCTTTTCCAAAGAAAATGGTATTAAAACCTCATTTTGGATTTTTTAGGGAAATCCATTTGGAAACCTTGTGATTCACCCAACCATGGAAAAGAAATGACAAGTACCTCTTAGACTTAAAACTGTTTTTTCTCTCATTTCAGTTTACCTGATTATGTAATCTAGGAATATTTACCACAAATCAAAGTCCTGAACATTGGAGATTTTTTTCCTGAGTTCTTGTGCTTGCCCTCTCATTACTTAGAATTTTGGATATGAGGCAGATTCCAAAAGATTAGGTTTAGAAAGCTGACAGCCTCGGGCTGGAGAGGCAAAGCGGCTGCAAGTTGTAGTGGCCTACAAGCTTCATCTGCTGCTCTTGCACACTGAGTCAGGAATTTAGGAAGTGTACCTGAATAGTATCTATAGCAGACCTCTGTTCTAAACATGCCATTAAAGTTTTAGGCCATAAAGGCATTATCCAGAAAAGGTTCCTTTCCCTTGATTTCTTTGCTTGCTTGGGTAACCATGATTTGGACCCAAGACATTGTTGTGGTATTATGCAATTATTAGTGGATTGTCTCAAAAACATAACTGCTTTAAGTGAATTCAACATACAGTAATTTTGATTTTTCTACAAAGGAGATAATGTGACCAAAGAATATATTATAGATTTAAGTGTTAATACCCCCACCATATTTATATTACATTTAAAATATAAATTGCATGATATAATTCTATATCAAACTCATGAATGATGTGAGTAGAGAAGGAGCTCTCATTTCTTCATTGTCCACCCTCTGGCCTTTTCACTCAGCATCAGAAGGTAGGTGTGGAAGGAAAGTGGAAATACACTTGGTGAATGTGTGTATTGCCCAGACCTCTTCCCTTGCATTTAGTAACTAAGGTTCCAGGAATTATATTCCTACAAGGCCTGTCTGAGCATGGCTTCCTTTGTAGCATGGTGACAAGTATGTATTCACCAAAAGCCAATGTCTGTCAGGTCGACAATTCAAGCTCTTCAGGTAAGAATTATTGTTTTGGCTTCTCCGTTACAGTCTGGGCAGTGTGTTGTGGTTTTTGTCCTTGCCTTTTCATAATGTAAAAGATATGGGTCAATGATGATAATGGAAAGGCATTGTGAAAAGAGAAAAAATAACGGTCCTTGTTGGCCGAATAGAGTAAGCAGGGTTATTGTGGCAAGTGTGTGTGGGAGGGAAGAGCTCCATACCCTTGACGTGGCCTTCAAGAAATCTAAAAATTCAAGGGACACGTTTCTGTAAATGATCTCAGAAGAACATGTAGAGTAAGGTCCAATTAAAAGCTAACAATCTCCAGAACAAAACCCAACTCATTTCTTAATGCCTGTTAAGGGGCAGGATGGGTTTGTTACGTAAGTTGGTGTGGTTACATAACGCAGCACAGACCCAAGGGCTTTCTTTCCAGAGTGACAGCTACAAATTGGACCTAATTGCGATTCCTTGATATATCAGGAGCCTAAATATTAGTATACAAATTACACAAAACCTAAAAAAGTGGCACGTGCAATTTTTGCCTTAAATAAGGAAAGCCCTGGTTATGATGGACTTTGTTTTTTTCAGATCTTTTAAAACACTAGGCATAGAAACTAATAGAGAATTGTATTCCTGCAACTTGTGAATAAGCTTTTTGAGTGTGAGGTATACATTATTGTTAGCAAGAAAAAGAATGGTCTAAGCCACATTTAAGCAACATTCAAAAAATGTTAAATGTTCTCTGGGGTGACATGTTCATTTTTAACTATTTTTAGTTTACATGTGCACAAGATACGCAAGCAAAGACAAGCAGGCGAACTGAGAGATAAGCTACTTGCCCGTGCTTAGAGGATAGACCTTGAGTGCTGGTGTAGCTCACTGGGGTTTCTGTGAATCTGCATTGGAAAACTGACCTTTGGTTAATGTTGGGAGACACAAGCCATTCAGATTACCTCTCAAGTTATTTAAAGATTGTCCTTAAAAGAGTTTTTGGGGCCCCCAGAATCTTCTTTTTCTGAACTTTTCTTTTAAAATATTTTAATTGGGATCCTAAATTTAAAGTCTCTTGTGAACAAAGTAAGTAAAAACATGCATACATAAAACTTCTTTGCTAGGACTGAGGCTCTGCCCTATGTACAAACAAGTTCTAATTGTTTAATTGATGTATTACATTTTTAAAAATTGGTTGACTTAAATTTCTTTTTAAAATAAGGTTTAAAAAAGCAGTTGTATAGTCAGTTATGTCAAAAGGATTGTTTTTGATAATTGTTTTCCAGAGAAAGTGAAAATAGTTACAGATTGACTAGGAGACAGCGATGGCTTTACTAAAGGCAAGTACCTCTTGCAAAATAGAATAATTACACTTTTTTTTTAGTTTATTTAGCCCCCGTTTAAGGAAGTTAACTAGAATGGACTAAAACTCCTAACTTGACATCTCCAAAGGGTTCCTGGTTGAACGTTGTAATCTGAAAACAGTAATATGGAATGTTGCAAGAACAACTTTGGAGAGCCAGGGAAATAATTTTATTAAAAATTACAAAGAAAAACAAAGCAAAACAGAACCAGACCAGCCACTGAAGCCTCTTTGTTGTTATTTCGTTAGGGCTCCCAGGCCATGGAACATCTCTCATCAATCTGCTTCACCCTCGTGGTGTGACCACTGTCTTCAGCTGGCTTCTGCCGGAGCTGCCTTCCT